CAATATAAGAGCAGCACACAGTTAAAGTTATTTCACCATAAATCGTTATGAGTTTGGAAGGATTTTCAAAAAATTCAGCATGAAATACACTCCTCATCAACCTTTTCTGTCCGTTGCAAAGCTAACGGTGTGCAACTAATTTCTCTACTTAAAATTTCTTAGGCAATGACATCGCTGATTTCAAAATTAATACCCGAAGACTCACGGAATATTATCTCTAAGTGGGTTTACGGACTTTTACACGATTTACAGCGGTTTCAGCGGGCTTCACCTCACGGATATTCGTATTTTCCAGACTAGAATTTACCACGTCAAAAACTTGGACCGAGCGCTCAAGGTCGTTCAGTTCAGTTCCCTTGTTATCTGTTCATGGCCCGTTTAGTGGACTGTTTGGGTATTCAACAAACACTTTACAGGAATGTTGTGGATGATGACGTAGAATCAGCCTCATTTCAAAAAAGCATGATGGTGACTTGCCATTGGGCTAGACCGGGGCACATACTCGATCTTTTTCGATCAAGCGCATATAAATGTTGATCCACAATGATAAATATGGCATCAATATTGGGTGCGATATTATTTTGGGAGTTCTCACTGATCGGGTGTGATTAATGCACGTAAAGCCGTTGGTTTATGCCACCTAGCTGTGAGGCGACCACCTGCACCGAGGTGCCTCAAAAAAAGGACCATGTGTTGTATCACCCTATCGTGATAATTAAAAACGGATACACCAAAGAGATCACCAATGGCTGCACTTAACACTTAATGAGATTTGGTTGATTCGACAGCAATCACCGAACTCGTAATCAAGTAATCAACTTTCTATTTGGCCGTTAGAAACGGGTTTCATGGGGCTGACGAGAAAAGAATCATCTGGTGAATGAAAGTATGTACAACGAGAAAGCGGTGGTCAGGTGCGAATTATGGTTTTACACGAGTTGACTCTTATTATTCATATTGAAGTTATTATTTACAGATATTTGTTTGCCATGTGTTCTTATGTTAGATGTGATTTTTAATTGTTTACAAACAACTAAAGTTGTACAACGGATGTTGAATAACGTTAAAGCCGAGTGGCTTTCCGGAGGGGAGTGTTACGGCTGCTGAAGCACCGTAGATGATGATGAAAATAACATTTAATAATAATAACAATGTATATTTCACGAAACCCGTGAAGCATGCACATGGCATGACATATGTTCAAAATGATCATATGTACAACGACAGTACAGGTAAATGGATAAACTGCTTGGAAGACGTACATACCGGAGATGGTAGGTAAGCAGAACGAAAACGCTGTGTAAACGAAACACAATGCGGACAAGGTCACAAACGTTGGTGTGGAGGATGAAAGAATGTGCTTTATAAGCAAATCAATCGAAATTGAAGTAACTGATACCCCTTTATCGTGGGGAAACGGAGTGCGGCTCTAATGGGAGAAGATACGGAGAGGCAAAATGTCGGACAATAGACGGGTAAAATGGATATGATTAAATAGGAAGCAGTACAGCGAGTTCATAGCCTGCCGGGATGCAGACGCTTGCAGACAAACCGTCGAAACAGCCATGCCCAGCATCCAGTGCCAGGGCCAAAATTTTCATTGTGGGTTTAGACTCCAAGCCTTCGACAGGTCCAAGCCAACCGAGGAATAAAAGAGTCGTACTGAACAGTCTGGGGTAATACCCAGCTGAGAAGGGATAAGGAAGAGACAGCAAAGTCTGAACAGTCTGGGGTAATACCCAGCTGAGAAGGGATAAGGGAAGAGACAGCATGTCACAAAGTTAATGGGCAAATTGGAATAATAAGGATGGTATAAGCCTGTATATATACTTGTATATCTACAGCTAGGCGAGCACACGTAAAAACGATCTAAAAACCGATAGGCGTGCAACAAAATAGACAACCAAGTTTGGCCAAATCACTCAGGCGACATCGAAGTTAAGAATAGGTCTACTGATGAATAAGTGGTCCCAAAACTTCTATGAATATGTACCTAGGTGGAACGTGTTCCACTGATAGAGCTATGAAGCTGAATCAGTGAGCTAATAGAGGTTCGGTTTAGAAAGTGGTCACAACTACCTGGTTTGCACGTGCCACGAGGTTTAGTCAAATAACTCGAACGAAAGCGAGGTGAGCCTAGTTCGGTGATGAACACGTGGTCAAAATACTTCTAAGAGAATATACCGAGGTGGAATGTGTTCCACAGATATAGCTTTGAAGCAGAATCGGTGTACTGATAAGAGTTCGGTTTAGAAGGTGGTCACAGCTACCTCAATTGCATGTGCCACAAGGTTTAGTCAAATATCTCGAGCGAAAACGAGGTGAAGAATAGTTATAGTTGTAAACAAGTGGTCACAATACTATTCAGAATATGTACCGAGGTGGAATGTGTTCCACAGATACAGCTTTGAAGCTGAATCAGTGTACCAATAGAGGTTCGGTTTCGAAAGTGGTCACTGTTGAATTTGTTTGTGGTTGTTGATCGAGTTGTAACAAATGCTTCGGCATCAATTCTTCACGCAATCTTTTCGCACACATCATGGACCATGTATTTGTTTGACTGTATCACTTTTACATTCTTCGCAATATCGTTGACTCGAGCGGCTGGAGTGGAACTCCGCTATTTTTGAGACGCTGCTTGATTTGTATTTATCGTGATTCTCAGACATTGTGACCCTAGAGGTTTCATTATCGAGGTTCGTTGTGAATATGCAACTTCAATCTTATTGTTAATTAACAGTACCGTGTCAATAATCAATCAAACCCTTTTTTGACGATCTTCTTCTCTCACTGGGATCAGTTTGGGCAATATTTGACTACGTGAAACGTATTGTTATCCGGATTGATCGTTCGGTAGAATTCGACAGACGTATCAATACTGACGCACGCGAAACTCGTTCGAGACGGGTCCTTCAGAATCAACAGTACTCGATAACCCTTTGAAGAGAACTCTTTGATTTCCATAGTGGGTTTTGTTTCCAGCTTAAAAAGAAAATTTCTACGGAATATCATGGGAGACAAGATCAAAGAAATCAGTGATTGCGGAAGGAATTTAGAACGATGACAACTGCTCAGACAAGTGTACGATATTGAGAGACATCAAACAGTCTCATTTCCATGATAAAAGTCGTTCTTCAACCAATCCTTCTGTTTCCACCTGCATTGAACCATCTTATGTTAGTCGTATGCACCTTGTTGAAACTCGGTTGCCTGAGAGTTCGCATGTAGAGTTTGTTGCCACCCCCGTTGCCAGTTCGGCTCATGGTTTTGCGCTTAAGACAACTGACGCTATGAACTATTCCACTAGCACCAACAATGTAGTTGGTAAATTTAAGACAGAATTAGAATGGAAAGAAGAGGAGCTTCTGCTGGAGGAGGAGGAATTCAGGTTGCGTAAAAAACGCATGGAATTCCAGCAACGATTCGAAAGTGTCCGTGCAGACGAAGTTGACGCACGAGGTGTAGAGTTGGAATCTCCTTACAAACCCCAGGCTAATTTCATGCCTTCAGCGGTTGACGCGGTTCAGACTATTGAGTCCTCTCTTAAATCGCTTATCATGGGAATTAGCCTACCTAAGATTGAGGTAAACTATTTTGATGGCTCACCTCAGCACTATCACAAGTTTGTGCGCAATTTTGAAGGCAGCGTTGCTGATCGAATTGCAGACGACAATCAGAAATTGTCTTATTTATTGTACTATTGTAGAGGCAAGGCAAGAGAAGCAATAGAACATTGTTCGCTGTTGCCCAAAGGTGATGGATACCATGAGGCCTTACGCATTTTACGGCATCAGTTTGGCCGTCCACATGACGTTATTCGAGCGGTAAGCCAGGCAGTATTTGTTGGTCCTAGAATAAGCTCGGGTGATGTCGAAAGCCTAAGCAGTCTCGCTAGACGGATGAGATCGTGTGAGGCCACAATGACACAATTAGGGAACGCAGCAGAGCTCAACTCCCCTAACAACCTCGTCCGTATAGCAGACAGATTACCCAGAACTCTCCAGGAAAGGTGGGCTGAGGTTGCGGACGGCATCATTGATTCAGGTAGAGAGCCATCCTTTAGTGATTTACGTGGCTTTATTGAACGTAGGGTTAACGTGCCGAACAATGTCTATGGTCAGTTGTTAAGTGGGTCTAGTCGCAAGTATGATAATAACAGGGCCGATTTCACAGAACTGAGGCACTCTCGAGCGCATGTAAATGTAACGAAGGTGGAGGAAATTAAACATTACTTGCGTTGTCCTATGTGTAATGCCTGTCACGAGTTAGGATATTGTGAGGAGTTCTCAAAATTGGCAGTGAATGAGCGCCTGCATTTTGTTCGCACCCATAAACGTTGTTTTTTATGTTTAAAGGCTAATCATATGGTATCGACTTGTCGGTCTGGTCTACGGTGCGAAAAACTTGGTTGCACTCGACGACATCATACACTTCTCCATACAGAAATCGTCCGGTTAAATGAAACTATCGAAGGTGAAATTCATAGTTGTAGTGTCAGACCTACCAACGGGCAAAGCATACGTTTAGGTTGCGTGCCCGTTCGATTAATTGGACCCTCAGGTTCGGTTGATACGTATGCGTTCCTTGACAATGGTTCGGATGCAACTCTAGTTAGTGGCGAATTGGCTCATAAGCTAGGACTGAAGGGTGCTTCGCGTAGATTAGCATTGCGAACGCTACATGGGACAAGGGTGATTTCATGTTCTGAAATCTGTTTCCGAGTAGAGTCGCTGTCAGGTGACTTCGAGATTGGTATTGATAATGCGTTTGCAATTGAACAGTTGCCCGTACCAAAGGTAGCTGATCCCAATTAGAGTAGCTTTAATCGATGGTCACACTTACGAGACATTCACTTTGAGACAATAACAG